CCAGGTTTGCAAAAAGTCTTGTTTTTAGCTGGGGCCCAGGCCCTGGTCACTTACTAATGTTTTGTAAAATTTATTTACATTTTCAAAAAATTGTTTTACAATTATAAAACTCTGAAAAAATGTCTGCCAAACATCTGAAGGTCTCTCCAGACATTTGGCAACTAGAATAAATGAGCACCTTAAAAGTGATAAACAATCTCATATATTTAAACACTTAAATTTATCTATTAATTTCAGAAATCTGGCTAACTATGATTCTTTTGAGAATTTAGATAATGCCCTAACAAAACACAAATTAAAAATAAAACAAGTCCTCCACGTTATGCTATAAACTTAACTATTTAATTTTATTGTCAATTTATTATTACTTATAAATTTTTCTTTTTTATGAGTTAGTTAACTCTTCTTTTACCCTTTGGAGGTTCGAGTAACCGGGAGTTTACTGTATATGTGTGTGTGTGTGTGTGTGTGTGTGTGTGTGTGTGTGTGTGTCTATATATATATATATATATATATATATATATATGTATGTATATACAGTATGCAAAAAAAATAATCGTACACTTGAAAAAAAATCGTAATTTTAAAGATTGCATCAGAAAAATTAGTTTTTCGTTAAAATATTTGAAAATTTTTTTTAGCTATCTTATCAAGTTTTGTTTTAAGAGTTTATTTGTGTATTGGCGAGTTAATTGCTTTTCATACCTATTAAATTTTACAGAATTGATCTAATGATGCATATAATTGACTGCAAAAAAAATAATCGTACGCTGACAAAATATGTTGTTATTTTAGCATAAATTGAGCGAATTGAACGATTAAACTAGTTAGTAAAATTAAAAATAGTAATTTTTTAAATACACTTTTGTTCTAGAAATAAAATATAGTGTTTCAGCAAAACGGCGTCAAGAAACCAACATTTGTCTTTCCATAAACGAAGCCTCGTAGTTGATTTAAAAAATCAAGGAAAATCCTACCGTCAGATCCAAAAAGAAACAGGAATTTCTTTTACGACAGTGTCCTCAATTGTTAAGAAGCATAATCTTATTGGAACTGTTACTAGTGTGGGTGGCAGAGGAAGAAAACGCAAGACCACTAGTGCAATTGATTGCAATATCATCATTAATGTGAAGAAAAATAGATTTGTTTCGGCAGCTAAATTAGCTTTAAAAGTTTAAGAAGATCACAATATCACAGTAACCCCTCAATAATTAGAAATTGTATTAGAGGACAAGGATATAGAGGTAGAGTAGTTCTAAAAAAAAACCTTTTTTAACTTCAAAACAAATGAAATATCGATTAGAATTTGCAAAGAAGTACGAAAAAATGCCGATATCTTATTGGAAAAAAATTCTGTAGTCGGATGAGTCCAAATACAACCTTGTCTCATCGGATGGAGTTCAAAAAGTGTGACGAAAAAAAAGAAGAAGCTTATAAATTAAGTTGTTTGCGAGGTAGTGTAAAGCATGGCGGAGGAAATGTGATGGTTTGGGGTAGTATGAGTTGGAAAGGGGTACGGAACTCAACAATTATTGATTAGAAAATGGATGCTTCATTGTATTGTGAAATTCTTAAAGCCAACTTGAGACCATCTACTACAAAATTGAGAATAGGAAAGGATTTTATACTGCAGCCGGATAACAATCCAAAACATACTGCTAAGAAAACAAAGGTATGCTTTGACACAAATAACATCAATGTTATGGAATGACCATCTGAAAGTCCGGACTTGAATCTTATAGAAAATTTGGGGAATATTTTGGACAGAAAAAGTGGTGACCGAGCATTTAGACAAAAAGACGACTTAAAAAAAAGCTATAATGAGCGCATGGGATAATATAACAACAAAAGAAACCCAAAATTTGGTCAACTCAATGCCAAATTGTCTAGCTGAGACCATCAAGGCCAAAGGATGCCCACTCGATACTAAATTTCATGAAGTTTGATCAATTTGACATTATTTTTGAACTGTGCGATTATTTTTTTTTGCAGTCAATTATATGCATCATTAGATCAATTGTGTAAAGTTTAATAGGTATGAAAGCAATTAACTCACCATACACAATACACAAATAAATTCTTAAAACAAAACTTGCGAAGATATCTAAAAAAAATTTTCAAATATTTTAATCTAATAATGCAATCTTTAAAACTACTATTTTTTTTCAAGTGTATGATTTTTTTTTTTGCATATTATATATATATATATATATATATATATATATATATATATATATATATATATATATATATATATATATATATATATATATATATATATATATATATATACATATTTTACAACTAAAAATAGTCATATACCCATACATTAATTACCTAAACAAAACTTTCTTTAATAGGTGTAACTATAAATTATATATTTAAATCATAATATAAACTTTGTTCATAAGATCGAAAGCAGTTAAAACCATATTATTCCTCGATCCTTATCCACCAAAACTTCACTAAATAAAATTACACTGGTAATCAAACTACCACAAGTCAAATAATTTAGACAGTAATATTAAAATTAGTTTTGAGCAATAGTTAATATTAGGTGTTATTTTATTCTTTACCATATAAAAAACAAAGAAAAATTAAATCAAAAGAAAAACAAAAGTATTCACAAACATAATTATCTACATTCTTTGGAGTACTCTGTAGTTGGGAAATTAAATCCATCGCATACTTCTTTATCTATTAGTAACTATTTAGTAAAATAAATATAAACAAAAATATGTAAAAACTAAAATGTATAATAAGTGTAAAAAGATTACAATATATATCTAGGCAATAATAATACCATAAACAGATTCAAAATATTACTTATTCAAAAAAAAAAAAAAAAGTTTTTTTTGGTATAGTACTTTAACGTTAAATGTAATAGTTTTTTTAATCATATAAAACAGTTAAATTAGCAATAAGTATTGTGAAATTTAATAACCTCCAGTTACTTTAACTCTTTTAAGTCTGAGCTTGTTACAGAAATCATCGATTGAAAATGATTATAGGCAGTTTTCATTGCATGAACACCAGTTGGACAAAATAAACATCCATCTTTTACCTAACAAGCTGGAATAAATGCCTCTGCTTTAACCCTGTTTAAAAAAAAAAAAAAAATCCCAAGATTGTAAAGCCATTATAATCGATTATCTAAACAGGCAGCATTTTTTAATTTACATATATATATATACATACATATATATATATATATATATATATATATATATATATATATATATATATATATATATATATATATATATATATATATATATATATATATATATATATATATATATATATATGTATATATATATATATATATATATATATATATATATATATATATATATATAATTGTTAGAATTTAATATACAACACCAACTCTATAATTAAGACTAGATATTTTCCCTGATAAAATTAGAAGCTCTTTTAAAAAATGGAAATAAAGTTATTTATCCAAACATGTTTTTATACAAAAAAAAAACATAATAATGTATATTTTCATTATTGGTGGAAGGTTCATACTGAAGTATTTACATGATAATTAGGGTGAGGTGTTCAAAGTTTTTTAAATGAGTTAAGAATTTAGTCTGTTAACAGACTAGATTTAGTCTGACTTATTATGTTTTATTAATTTTGATAATATTTTACAATTTTGAATCTTATTAAAACTAAGTATTATTTCTAACTAACATATTTAAAAAAGTTGAACATTTTATTAAAATGGTCAGCTTAAAATAAATATAAAATCGATAAAAATAACCTGAATAAATCAAATTTACCCTGAGATATTTGTATATTGTATACAATATGATATAATATCTAAGTTTTAAATTATTCTCAATACAAATAGGTTATAAAATATAACTTTATTAAAATATTTTCAAACCATATGCATGCATTCTATTAAGTTTTGCTTGCTTTTCTATTACGGCAAGTTATATTTGTAATGGCTACCCAGCTAGCACACATAAGTTGGGCCAACGTCGGGCCAATGTCGAAAGCGTAGGACAGTTTTATAATATAAGCGCTGACATCAGACCAACGTTGGGCCAACGTCGGAATACGACACATTATTTAGATTTTTAAATGCGTACAGTGTTTTACAGGTTTTAGCTTTATTCAAGTTTTCGGCCATATTTAAAAGCTGTTGAAGGGTTGTTGTATAGCTATTGTAACTTTTTATTAGAGAATTGCTTTATATGGCTTTGAATTCAAAAATTAATGATTTTATAATAATTGTGATTAATTTTGAATTGAATATCAGATCATAATAAAATAATACAAATATGCTGTAACTTGTATATCTTTAAACATGCATTTTCAAATCTTTCGTTAAAAAATGGTTTTACAAAGTTAAGTCTCAACATTAAGTTGAGTTGAACTTCACTTAAGACTGTATGATAGACACAACTACATATTTATTACTTACTTAAGACTTAATTTATTTAACAACTACAAGTTATCTTCATCATACATAATTTTTATGTATCATACAGTGTACATGTACACTGTATGATGTACAATGTACAGGCTAAATTCTCAAGTCTTATACACACAATGTATTTAGTATATGTTTACATTCTGTATTTTACAGTGTATACACTGTATGATACAGAATGTATACATATACTACATACATTGTGTGTATAAAACTTGAGAATTTAGCCTTAACTTGGCCCAAGTTAAGGCTAAATTCTCAAGTCTTATACACACAATGTGTATCTCCCAAGTCTTAGGAGCTAAGACTTAAGTCTTAACTCTCAAGTTAGGCCTTAACTTTAGATTATACACTAAACACAATATGTAAATCATTTAAATTTTACTAAATGTATAATAGTGAGTAGTTGTCTATTTTAATTCAGATTTTATCGTACAGTGTACTACATAATGTGTCATATATTTTTATTTATACTGTGAGTACTACATACATTATTAACTTAATAATATAGTTAGTGCTAATATTGTTTAATTATTATTTTCAAACTTTTTCATAAAAAATTAATGAATAAGTTTGGTTAAATTTGTATAAAACCCCTTTTTTTTTCTTTTTTTTTTAAGCTATGCAAGGTCTCTGTTAAGGTATTATTTTAAAACAAACAAATTAAATCAGGAAAAGAAGTGATTGTTATAGAACTCAGAAAGGCTGAAAAACGAAAAGAAGGCTGTTGAAGAAAAAAAAGGTTGTTAATGAAAAAAAGGTTGTTACAGAAATTAGAAAGGTTAAATAACGAGAAAGAGTGGTTTTTAATGGAAAAATTAGAAAGGTTGAATCACAAGAAGAAGTCTTATTAAAAGAATTAAATAAGATTAAATTATGCAAAAAAAGTGGTTGTGAAAAGAAATTATATTAATTGTTTGTTTGAGAACAATAGGAATGGAATACTTAATTTCCATTTTTGTGTTTATTTTTACTTCAAAATTATTAGTTATATATATATATATATATATATATATATATATATATATATATATATATATATATATATATAATTTAGGAATATTTTTAAGTTAAACAATTACAGATTTCTTACAATGCCTAGATAAAGTTTCCAGGGTTTACTAAGGAATAGGGGGAAGTAAATGTGTTATTTCCTGACACATAATTAATTACTGAATGAAGCTTTTGTTTAAATTGTTGTTTTTTCCAGTTATGTCCAGTGAAGCTTTTGTTTTTTAATTCGTTCGACTGTTGTTAAAGACGGATAAAGCAACAATTAAATGGGAGTGTATTAATTATATGCATTTGTGGCGTTAATGGTAATTGGAATTTTTATAATACTTGTATAAGCGAATTTTTGAAGCTTTTAATTTCTAATTTTTGAGTGATACTTTTATTCAACTATTTTCTGTTTAGATGACTTGAAAAATTAATGCAATATCAACAAATGCACTGATTTTGAAATGTACATTTTGCTGCCATGTTTATGCAACATACAAGTTATTGTATTATGTATTTATTTATGTTGATATTTATTATTTATGTTGTACATATTTTAAATATCTTTTTAATAAAAATATATTCAATGAATTGAATATAAAATTATTAAAATATATTCAATGAATTAAATATATTCAATGAATATATTTTTAGTATGAATATATTTAGGTATTCATATACATCATCATCATCATCATCATCATCATCATCATCATCATCATTATCATCATTATCATCATCATCATCATCATCATCATCATCATCATCATCATCATTGTTTTAGCGTCCTTGTTTCTGTGCTTGCATGGGTTTCACGTTTCTCATAATGCCATTTTTCCAACATACATGGTCTTGAATTTCTTCTTACATCTTCGTACCTTAAATGTAGCGTTTTCATCTCAAACACACTCTTTCCAAGTTTTTCTGTTTCTACCTCTACCTTTTTCTCCTGAAACGTCTAACTTTCTACATGCTGATAACCCGTCATCTGCATCCTTACACTCTATATGCCCAAACCACCTCAATCTTCCCTGAAGCACCCTATCAGATACAGTCACTATGTGTAATCTTTTTCTTAAATCAACACTGCTTTTCTTGACTTTTAGAGTCACCACGCACATCTATCTAATCATCATCCTTTCTGTCTTTTCCAAATGCTGAACATCATCAACCTTCATTGCCCATGTTTCACTGTCATACATCATAACACTATGTATGTATATGCTGTATAACTTTCCCTTAATCTTTAATGAAGCATCTCTTGCTGGTAAAAGTGGAGATAATTCTCTGAACTTGGCCCAACAGACCTTATTCTTACCCTAGATGCTTCTTCTGCTCCACCAGCTGATCCAATTGTATCTCCAAGATAACAAAATTTACTGACACACTCTATTGCTCCTCCACTTATTATTTCAACCTTTTCTAACTTTTTCTCTATACTCACCAACAGTACATCTTGTACGAACTTTGTATACCACTACATCTCTTATGAACCCATTGCTTACAAACTGTACAAATAATGGAATTTGTTCCAACTCTCTTCCTACACACTCCACATCCCCACTTCCCAGTATTTTCTACTTGCTCATTCTTGACTTTACAGTTATTCATGTTCATATATATGTGTATATATATATATATATATATATATATATATATATATATATATATATATATATATATATATATATATTTTTTATTTATTTATTTATACTTTATATATATATACACTCTCACAATTATACTTATAATTTTAACAGTAGTGATGGCAATCCCTAAAGCTCATCAAATCAAAGATACAAGTTCAAAGATTTCTATCAAACTGTGTAATTTGAACATTTTAGTTGCTCTCAAACAATATAAAGATATATATATATGTGTATATATATATATATATATATATATATATATATATATATATATCTGAATATATGTATAGTTTGTATACATATATTCATATATATACATATATATATATATATATATATATATATATATATATATATATATATATATATATATATATATATATATATATATATATATATATATATATATATATATATATATATATATATATATATATATAATTATATATCTGAATATATGTATTGTTTGTATGAATATTTTAAAGTAATTATAATAATTATTACAACAAACTTTGGTTTTCTGTGTAATTAAAGTTGGTTCATAGCATCAATGTATTACTTGTGTTTATCAGCCTTAAGTTTTATTAAAAATGATTTGGATATTTTAATGGACATTACAAAGAAATAGTTGCGTTTTATTTAAAAAAATAGTTGCACTTTAGTTGAAGAAGTAGTTGCATTTTAGTTGAAGAAATAGTTTTAGTTTGCAAAAACTTTGTTTTTGGTTCAAAATGTGCACTCACCTTATGAATCAAAAACAATGTTTTTGGAAACAAATTTAAACTTTCATTATTAAAATATTATGTTGGGCCAATGTCAGATTTTTACGTTTGTCCAACATTGGAATCCTTTAATTTCAGGATTTACTTTAATAGCTGTCGTCTGTATCTTGTTAATAATTACATCGTTAAACTTTTACTTAAAGCATCATTATCAAACATTTTTATACAAGTTTACGAAAACGATTTGGTTAAAATTTTATCTAATTCCGTTTTTAGTTAGCTGTTGGTCATTTAATTTATGCAAAGAAGATTGAATCACTAGAAGTGGTTGTTATATTACTATGTTATATTATTTTAAACAACATGTATTAGATATTGTTTGTAAGTACATGTGTTTATTTAGATAACAGATATTGCGAGTAAATGTTTTTACTTCATTCCTATTTTTTAATTTAATTAAATATTATAATATTTAAATTTAAATATTATAATTTAGGAAATTATAATATTTAAATTTAAATATTATAATTTCCTAAATTATAATATAATATATTACTTCTTGTTTCTGTATAGTATGTCTTTATTGTATGTTTTTATGTTTAATTATATGCATTTGCGGCATTTTAATGGTAATATGAATTTTTATAATATTTGTATTATAGAATTGCGAATTTTTGGAGTGAAATATTGATACTATTTTTCAATAATTTTCTTTTTAGATGTGACATTAAAAAATGAATGCAATATCAACAAATGTGCTGACTATTTTTTAAATAATGATTTGTTGCCATAATTATGCAGGTAGTATATCGAAAAAATTATTTTATTATGTTTTCATTTATGTGCTTTTTATTTGTATATAGTACATATGTTTGTTGATTTTTATTTTGATACCAATTATTTATTGAAAATATTTTTAGTTTCAATATATTTAAATATTCATATATATATATATATATATATATATATATATATATATATATATATATATATATATATATATATATATATATATATATATATATATATATATATATATATATATATATATATATATATATATATATATATATATATATATATATATATATATATATATATATATATATATATATATATATACAAATGTCTGAGTTATAATTCTTATAGTTTTACCAGCAGTCCAGCAGTTATGGCAATGTCTAAAGCTCGTCAAACCAAAAATGCAAGTTCATAGATTTCTATCAAATTGTATAAAGAGGACCATTCGAACGTTATAGTTGCTCTCAAGCGAAGTGAAGATTCAAGATTTGTAAGGATGCTTAGCAGTTGAGGTGAATATTAATATGTTTGAATATATTTTGTACGAATATTTTAACATAATTATAAAAGTTATTACAACAAGTTTTGACTTTCTCGATGTAATTGTCAAATTAAAGTTGATTTATCATCAAATTTTATTTAAACTTACTTGGACATTGTATTTTAATGAACATTACAAAGAAATAGTTGCACTTTTTAAAATAGTTGCACTATTTAAAGAAATGGTTGCATGTTAAATAAAAAAATGATTGGACTTTATTTATAGAAATGGTTGATCTTTATTTTAAGATCAACCATTTCTGCGCCTTTTTTATAGAAATGCACTTTCCTTACGTCGCACTTTAGTCAAAGAAATAGTTTTAAGTTGTTTGCAAAAACCTTGTTTTTGATTCAAAAGATAAGCGCACCTTTTGAATCAAAAACAAAGTTTTTGAAAACAAATCAAAACTCTTATTATTTAATATTACGTCAGACCAACGTCAGAATGCGACGCTCGCCCAACGTCGGAATTCGACGTCGGGCCAACGTTAATCCAACGGTTGGTTGCGACGTCGCGCCGACTATCAAATCCACGTTGGCTCGACGTCGGTTGCCGACCATCGGCCAACGAATTTTTCGACGTCTATTCGACGTTGGGCCAACGTCTATGTGCTAGCTGGGTAGTTATTGAGACAATAATTTTTCAATGTGCCACTTCCTCAACGTTGTCAAACCAATGTTTTATTAACGTTGGTAAAGTAACACTTTTTCAACGTTTTTTAATTACTACACTTTCAACGTTGGTATATGTAACGTTGAATGAGCGTTGTTTTATAAATAGCTTAAATACGTTAAAAAAGCAGCTGATGTCTAACGTCGATAAACCATAAACTTTGCGACGTTTTTACAGTAATTATTTGCCGACTTTTATTCAACGTTGAATAAACGCGATTTTTTGAGAAGATAAGATTCGTTTAAATTTATACGCTTATTCAACGTTGAAAATGTAACGTTTAAAAAGCGGTTTGTTTTTAACGTTGATAATGCATATGCTTTAAAACGTTTTTAAAGTGGCTTTTTGCGTAATTTGATTCCACGTTGAATAAACGTTAGATTTTGAGAAGCTAAATTACGTTACAATTTCAACGTTTATTCAACGTTTCAATTTACGTCGATTTAGTATACAAAAAAAGACATTCATTCTAGTTGAAAGCACGTCGTTTTTGTGACTGTAACGCTTTTTCTACGCTGCGACTGGTTTTCAACGTTGATTCAACGCTGAAATGTTTGCTGGGATAGGATTGGCTGTTGAAACATATCAATGAAATAAAACTTGTCTGTGTTAATTGATCATAGAATGTATCGTGATCATATATTGTATTGTGAATTCATCCTTAATTTTTTTATCAGGTACTCTTAACTCACGAAAAAAAATTATTAATAATATAATAACTAAAACAGATGTAATTATAACTTACATTAAATAATTATCATTAAATGAAAAATATTCATGAAAAAGTGATTCAAGTCAAAAATATTCATTATAAATTTAATTTGCAATGTAAAAAAATTTAAAATGTAAAAACCAGTGCTTCAAATAGTGGATTTTATGCTTTAGTGGTTTACCTTGACTTTGCTAAAGCATTTGATACAGTAGATCAGAAACTACTAACTGCTAAAAAAAACTTATGGTTTTGACAAAAGTTTTTCAAATAGGTTACATAACTTTCTCTCAAACAGGCAACAAAGGGTTGTAATTAATAATAAAGTGTCTGAACAGCTTCCAGTATTAAGCGATGTACCACAAGGCGAAGTTTTATCTCTACTTCTATTTAACCTATTTATTAATGACATGCCTGAACTAGTTCACAATATTCAGGCTTGGTCGGGAAGCGGGAGCGATCGCTCTCGAATACTGACCACGGATATTATATTTATTTGCGAAAAACTGGTTAGGTTTTTTAGTCGTTTCCCGACGGGCATACGAACATTTAATCAACGTTTAAATAATGTTCGTTCTAAATGTTTAGATTTAATTTAGTTTTGATTTAGAACGTAGGTCAATCGAATGTTCCATTTAAACCGAATCTAAATGGTTCGTTTTAAATGCTATTTAAACTCCATCTAAATCTTTCGTTTTAAACGTCGTCTAAATTTTATAAATTTACGTTTCTTTAATTTATATGCTTCTTTAAATAAGCGGCGTAAAGAAAAGTCAAACGTTGAACGCGTAACTAAATACTCATAAACGAATCAAACATACAGATATTTTTTTTCATACATGCAAGTCTTAAACATATTTACACTAATTTTAATTATTATAATATGAATTATCGTATTTATCATTATCATGATCGCTTTCATGACAATAAGCATCATCTTTGCTTGAATCGTTCAAGCCAGCCTCTCCATCTTGAGAATTGGAAAAATGGGCGCCACCTTTCCCAGTGCCACCTAAACGAAACGGAGCCATTCTAAGATGAGAACCAATGCACGAATGTATTTCGGACAAAGAAGACGTAGAATATCGTTTCAATACACACTCTAAAAATAATTTAAAAAAATCAATAAACATCTTCATTCAATTCATATAAATAATTTATTCGACAATTTTATAAATTCGTAGTGTGTACCGAGTAGATTTGAATTATAACCTGAGTTTGAATTTAATTTCAATTACAAAAAATATAAAAATAATATTTTACCAACAACAAGTTGACACAGAGCAGAGTCTCTAAACGGAAGCTTTTTAAGAGAACCTTTACCATCCATACTCAAATGAGACATAACAAAATTTGTAAAAAGTCTTTTCAATAGATTCTTAGAAGTATCTTTAATGGATGACCCTCCGATTCGCGAAAGAAGGCAAAGCTACAAAGAAATTATTTATAAATGCTACTTTTCATTACACATGGGATTCTAATTAATACAAAAACAAAAGTTTTGCCACCTCAATGAAAGCAAAACATATTTTCTGACATCAAAACAAACATTATATAGACGTTAAAAACCTTTCTGGGAAAGAGGATAAAAACAATTAGCTATACACTTACTAAAATTGTTCGATTAGCAAGAACTCTACATTGCTCCTCTAATTTTCTGTATCCATTCAAGGTCCCAATAGCTCCAGCTATAACTTCTAGATGGACCTCAGCAACAGTCTCTAAACTTGGTACGGCCATCATTTCCACTGCTATTCGTAAATCTTTAATTTCGTTAGCCATATTTGATAACTGATAAAGAACTTTTCTCTGAAACTCTGTAAAATATATAACATTTATATAAAAACCTCATTAAAAAAACTACACAAATTTCGTTATAACTGTTCACAGTGATAGGTTGATAATAGATAGCACAATTGCAAAGCAACTGCCTTATCTACAGTAAAAAAAAAAAAAACAGTCGAATTAAAAAATATATTATTAAATAATATATAAATAAGGTTTGATAACTTACTCCCATTATCGATTTCATTTTCTTGAGGAGCAGTTGGCTCACTCAGTATCATGTTTGCTTGAAACTTTCTATTTAATGCTGATAGTTTCACTACAATATAAATAATTATACAATTACATTGGGCGTTGTAAATCAAAACTTATTTAGAAACGTCATTAAATTTTTGCAGTATATATGTAAATCAGACCCCATATACTATACAACATTATACTATAAATAAACAATAACTAATATCATTATTACAGTTAATTCTAGATATCTCTAATATTTACCAAATCCCTTAGATATTACACTTAAGTTAAAAATTAAGTATTACTTGATCGATCTATTACATTGTCTTTTGATGTGGCAGCTCTCTGTCTGAATATTGGTATTTTAGAATCAAATTTTTGGGGTAACAGAAAAGGAGAAAGTGCTGATTGGTTAGCTATAATGTAAATAACTATATAGTTACATTATTTATGCAAAGTTGTTTTCAATGAAAATTTACTAAATTTTCCTAAATTTGATTTAAAAAAGTTTATCCTTAAAAGGATAAAGGATTAAATATGTTCATAAATCGTAAAAGTTAGTAGGTCTAAATCTGAAGATTATTTAAAAGTGAAGGTGGTCTATACCAAAGATATAAATTTAGACATCTTACTTGATTGATTCATTTTATTTTATTTTGGTATAGTCACCATGCTTGATTTGAATGAAGGTATCTTAGAATAACAGCTTGAAAGACCAGGTGACTGTGGAATTGGTGATAGTTTAGCTACAATTTAAATCTCAGGGTATACTTTTGAGATATAACCATTACAATTATTATTAGTATTCAAAGATATAAAGTACAACAACTTACTTGCATGATCACTTTTATATCCTTGTGGTACCACATCCACAACCTTTTTATATAGTGAAATATTTGATGGTAACACTTTGCCTAATTTAGCAGGTGGCTGTGGAAATGTAGATAGTTTTACTATTTTAAAAATAAAATACAATTACAGCAAGTGTAAAAAATTATTTTTAATAACTGTTTTATTACAAAATACATACACATAACACTATTATTACTATTATTATGTAGGCTATTATTAGCTCCTGCTCTACACTTCATAAAATTACTAATTAATGAACTTGTTTCTTCACGCAGCAGCCTTGTTCGTCAAGGCTTGTGTTTCAGAGTTATGAAGTTGAGAGAGGCTTGAAACTGCAAGTAGCCTCTTCGATTGTAGTGGTCATCTCAGCCTTTAGGGAGGTGAATTAACATAAAAAATATATATTCTTACTTTCTGTATTAATATCAACATCAACTTCTTCCTCGCCTGAAAAAAACAAAGTGTTTTACTAGAGCTGTATTACATCCGAATAAGTGTAGTGGTATTATATCCAAATAAATAACTTCAATTTTGATTAAAATAATGCAAAATTATAGATTGATAATAAGTTTTAAATATTATATTTTATATATTATTTGTCAGTTTTTGTATATTTCACATATGTTATTATTTTCAGTTTATATATTCTATTTACTATTTATATGAGTATTAACAAATTAAAGTAAAACCTTCAAAAAAAGTTGTACAAGCAGTACGCTTGCGCTTTTTTGAAACTTGCTGATTATCTTCTTCAGTTTCTGTAGTTAAATCATAATTATTACAATCCTCGTAGCAATCTGTAAAAGAAATAAGAAAACATTTAATTTATCCAAAGAAGTTATTGACAAATAAATTCTTTTAACAAGTAATGACTAAATTCTTTAACATTTTGCGAATGTAAATTATGAAGCTGTTGTCAAAAAATAAACACAAAACCTGAAGTAATTTTTATTTTTATTAGTTTAAAAAGTCGCCAATTTTCATTAGGTTCTACTCCTTCTTTCATTAATTTAAACGCATTCATTTTGGATGGGGGCCATATAACTACTTTTCCCCGCACCCATGCGGATGGCAAGACTCCTTCTTCCTCACGATTTTCTTCCAACCAAACAGCCCGGTGATATGACATTTTACTAAAATGCTAATACTCTTTTTATTGTAGGTACATCAACACATAACATAAACTTGTAACTAAACTTGTTTAAAAGTGTTTAATATAAGTTTAGTCGTTTACAAATACATAAATATTATTTTACTAATACATATAAATAGTAGTTTAATTATTGTTATTATCACTTGTTTCAGCTAAACAAGACACCAATAGAAGTTATTATCAGAGGAGATGGTTATGAAAATTTCTATACTAATTACTCTTTAAAATTTTAAGATTAATATCTAAAATTATTTAGATTTACATTAAAAGTAAACAAAATCGAAACAAAAATTAAAAAGTTAAAACATAGGAAAATAAAATCACAACTTAATATACCTAAAATAAATTTACAATAACTTACACCAAATGAAAATATTAATAAAAAAAGAAGCTATAATAACTCTTTGATTAACTACGAAGGCTAAAAAATATATAGCTTTTTTCACTCATAGTGCTAACCTAGTATACTATGAAATATCTTCCTTAAATTAAAAATCACATTAGGCATATTAGCATATTTAAACATATTAAACATATAGACATAAAAACATATTTAAAACTATATTAGAGGGAGATAAATATAAAAAGAAATGTTTTTGAATATGTATTTATCAACTTTAATTTAACTCAAGACTAAAATTATTTCAATTGTTCAATGGATAATTTTCTGTTGCCTTTGATTAAGTTAACCATAATAGTATTATTAGTAAAATAATTTAGCACTCTTTTGAATGAAGAAGAGGCATTAACACAAAGCCACCATTACAGGGAAACTTCATAGCCTTTTTCTCGATTTCTGCAAATTTCTAATTCTTCGATTTAGAATGCTTATAAGTATTGTTCACAAAATAAATGTCTAAAAGGTCAGATGAGCATGGCTCAATAAAAAATGGATGCAAATTAGCAAAACTGAACACATAACACATATATGAATCTTTTAAAACCTCATATACCTCCACAAATTGTCAATTTTTTAGTTGTGCAAATGAATCTCTATATGTTGTTGACAATTTAAAGACCGGTGTTGTTGCATTTGTAATTTCAGAGTATTTATGGGCATTTTCATATTCTTGAATTCTTTTTGCTACTTGTACAGCAGGATTTGAAGAGCCTCTAACATATCTTTTTAATGTTTGCAGATAATTTTCAAAAGGAAAAGCACTGATCTCATCAAGTGGTAAACCAAAAAACTCTACATCATCTCCTATATGCAGCAAATGATGAATATTGTATACAACAAAATCATTACCATATAATTTTTGAGAATTCTCAATAAAATGTCTAAGCAAATCTTTTGCATAGTTCAACATGTTATTTCTTTTGTCATTTGATGGTGTGAGTAGATTTGATGCACCAACAGAAAGTGTTAAAAAATGTTTGTAAAGCTCAGAATTCAAAATTCCCTTTAAGACAATAGGTCCTGTGTATAATAAGAATTGCTGGAATTCAGTGGCCTTCCATCTATCAAGGTCCAACAAAGATCTAGGGCGTCTAACAAACTCACTTGGTATGCATTTTCGTAAATCCAAAAGGTTTTCAGAAACTTGCAATATGTTGTTGTTGCTTAATTTCACTTTTCTATTACCTTTTTTCAATGTTTGAAGTATACGACGTACAACACCTAAGCAAATCAAATGCATATAGTCAAGTGGAAAAATGCTGATACATTGGTCTGTTATTTTATTGAAAGGCGAAGCTCCGTGTTGATGACTTCTAAGGAATTCAAGATTTTTAAAACTGTCATGTGTACGCTTTCCAGCATTGAAGCAATCAGAAGAAACAAACGTTGTTCGCCTGTTAGTTGATGTACCAACAGCAAGACAGCGTTCACATGCATGCAGGCTATTGTGACCAACAATATTTTTCAGAAAAGATCTTGCTAGAGCATCACAAATAACTGAGTGCAAAATAACTGTATAATTTTTACCATTATGAGTGACACCATTACATTTTAAAAATTTATATTCATCAATAAAATCCTTTAAGAATTCTTTAACACAGTTTGGCTTACTATCTCCTTGATATAAGGCAACAATTGTGGGTGAACTATGATTAACAGCAGAAAGAATCGGCCAAAATTGTCTTTTCGATGATCTAAACAATGATATACCGTCAACATTTATTTGCAGATTGAGTATATTGCTGCAAGTGCCTTGATTTATTGAGTTCTGTAAACATTTGGTAAGGCCAAAATAAATGTATTTTCCACCACATTTTTCCTAAACTTGTATAGCTTGAGGTGTTTGTAAAAGAGTACGGCTATCTTTAGGCAGCTCGCACCCATGTTTTCTCAACAAGGCTAGCAAACCATTACATGATAAACGTGTGAGTTTTGCATTAACAACCTATTGAGCTAGATCGTATTGAAAAGATCTATTGCCAACAACTTCTATATCACAATAATGTTCATCGTCTGAGCTGCTATTAGGTGGTACTATGTCGATGTCAATATCATCTATATCACAATTTTCTTCATCGGAACTACTGTAAGGTGGTACTATGTCAATGTCAAGTCTATAGGTATCACTATTAAATAAATTATCAGTTATATTATTTGCAATAGAAGATGCAAAGCGAATAAATTTTCTGCATTAGTTGAAGAATTTGATAACACAGGAGGTTCACATTCAAAGCAATTATTTGCATCTTTAACAACTTTTCTATATTTTCGCATATACTCTGCTTTTGCACTCATACGAATGATCTAAAAAATCAATTAAATAAAATATTAGGTAATGTTATTTTTTATTTACAAACTTATTTTTTTTTATATAATTTATATGAATATTATTATAGATAAGATAATAAGAGTTTAAGATATTATAACTAAATAATAAACTTAATAACAACGTATAATTAGATTATTTGTAACAATAATAATAATAATTATTATTAATATTTTATTAATCACCCTCTGTAAAATAAATTTACAAGGTAAAAACACAAACTAAGAAATAGAGATAAAAAAAAGTATTATTTAGGAATGTTTTCTTCAAGTGTCTTTTCAAAAATTGTTCGCTGTTCTTTTACATTCCAACATTGAACCGCGTGTACCAAAATATGAAGAGTAGCTTCAGGAATTAATTCCTCTAAGACTTTAAGTTTTACTTTTTTTTTAACCAGCATTAAGGTGTTCATATTCAGTTTATGATTATCAAATTCTTTTATATCATCTAAAAAAGAAAATTTAGCTGAACAGTAGTTAAGTTGGGAGTTACTGATTTCAAAGGTTACTTTATTGTTTAAAAGGCGGATAAATAGATTTTTTTTTTTTTTAATGTATATAACTTGACATCTCCTTAATTTTAAATAGAGAGTGTATATAGTTAATTTTAAGTAGAGAGTGTATATAGTATAGAGAGTGTATATAGTACTTTAAATAGAGAGTGTATATACTTGGAGACATTAAAAATTGATTTAACTGCGTTCCTTCTAAATGAGTAGAGTCTTTTCATTGTTGCATCTTTATTTTCACAGATTTATTATTATTATTATTATGGAGATTATTATTATGAAGATTAAGATTAAATAATTACGCTAATAAAGTAAATAAAACAAATTAGAAACAAAAACAGTAGTTTAAAAAATGTAAAAGGTAAAAACTATACTTTTTTTTTAATGAGTTATAAAATTATTTTTTTATACACAAGTTAAAGATAAAGAAATCAAACATATTGACAACAGAGTTTGTCAAGGTTTGTGTTTCTGTGTTAAAGAGTTTCACAGCTGCCCAAATTTTTTCTCAGAATAGGCCCTGTATATATATATATATATATATATATATATATAAATATATATATATATATATATATATATATATATATATATATATATATATATATATATATATATATATATATATATATATATATATATATATATATATAAACATCAGTGGTAAGATTCAAATTTCACAACGGGTTCTGTGTGTACAAGAAAAAGAAGTAGTAAAATTTTTTAAATACGAAAACTAGTATTGTTTCATACATAGATAAAGCGTTACATAAAGAATTATTAAAATGAAAATATTTGTATGTATGTATGTATGCATATATATATATATATATATATATATATATATATATATATATATATATATATATATATATATATATATATATATATATATATATATATATATATATATATATCTGTGTGTGTAGTTATATCAGGATGTATATGCATGTATGTGTGTATGTGTGTAAATCACAGTGTAATTTACACTTTATTACATTTCTTTTACTTAAAAATTGAAAGACTTATAATGATTTGTTTTAACTTTTAACAAGTCACTTCTATTTTAAGTCTTTTTCTTTTTAAAAAAAAAGGACGAATGTAAAATAAAATAAATACAATAAAAAAAATATAAATATAGATTGAATCAAAATCAAAAAAGATTACAAAATCCTAATTCTAAAAAAAAAATGCATTTATAGCCCTTATTCTCTCAAGTAGTTGAGATTCACATTTAATATTTATTTGCACTACATTGACAATGTCTCAAGTACTTGAGAGAATAAGGGCTATAAATGCATTTTTTTTAGAATTAGGATTTTGTAATCTTTTTTGAATTTGATTTAATCTATATTTATATTTTTATATTCATGTAGCCTACAAGTCAAGTACCTATTATGTGAATAACATTCTATAAGAATTATAATAAGAAACTTATTATTTATCTGTATTTTACCTCTTTTGCAATCTTTTAACTACTTCTTGGTTTGATACAAACTATTTCAAATCTTGTAAAACCACTTTTTTCTGTAATACAAACTGCTTCAATTTAATTAAATAATACCAATCTTAATAACTTTCATAACTAAACCTTTTTTCAAATTTCTGTGATATTTATGCAAATTATTATAGACTAATAGTCTATTTTAATAACAGTCTAAGTATAGTTTTTTATGCCATAAGAAAATCAGACTAAATAACGATTTTAAATATGGTAACAAGCATGTTTTAATATACAAACAAGCATGTCTAAAGGTCATTATCAAAAAGTTAATCCTCCTAAAACATCCGTTAACTCAATTTTTGTTTACTCAAATTTCTTTTAAGTTTTCTAAACTACTATCTACATAACTTAATATTCATATGAAATTCAAATTTTTAAACAATAATGAAAGATCCAAAACGTCCGTTTCATTCTGTGCAAAATCCCTTCTGGGCTAATCGAAGTAACGGAAACCGGCATGATTTAGCGCTTAAACGCTAACTAAATATTCAGAACTCATTTAGAATTGATTCCTAATCGTTTAGAACAACGTAAATGTCATCTAAACGCAAATTAAATATTCAGAACACGTTTAGAATAGATTCCTAAACGTTTAGATCGACGTAAATGCCATCTAAACGTGATCTAAACCAATTTTAAACCAACAAATGCCCGTTGGGTAATTATATAGGTAAGTGCCAAGTGCCTTAAAAATCATATTTTAGGCTTTTTTACCCTTTCTTAAGCACATTTTTCGTACGTTTCAGCAAGTACTAAAACTCAAAAAATTAAATTTTCTTTTTTTCCTGTTTTTTTTTCTAACTTAAAATACATGGTAATTTTATTTTATTGAAATAATTTGTGTAAATTTATTTACAAAAATGCAAAGTTATGCAGATTTTACTAATTGTTGTACTTCACGTTAATTTAAAAATGTTGCGTATTTGCTTAAACATGTTATACAAGTTACTTTTTAACAAAAACGATACTTTTAATTTTGATTTAAAAATGCGGGAAATAAATATTGATTACTTTTATGATATATCTACTCCATATACTTATTAAAGCTATTTACTACAGATTAATTTATGTCAAGAAAAAGTAAGAAAAAAGATGACTCAGGTCATCCTTACCAAAAGACAAGTTTGCTACAGAGCAAGAGGTTTTGCAATAGTCCTTGCATTTGAAGGAGAAGTACCCAAAACAAAAAAAAATAGAATTATCCATTGTCCATTGACAAAAAAGCTTCGAAATCAGCTTACATAATGGAAAACATATTTGCTGCACTCTTTCAAAGTTAATTACATCTCTGATGAAGGGTGGATTTCAAATTTTATAATTACAAACAATTAGGTAGGGACCAGACTGTACATATTTTTCTTTTATTTATACATTATTTCTTATTAGAGGAAAATATTAATACAACTATTTATTAACAAATATTAATATAACTGTAGGATCATAATAAGAAAAAGTTAAAAGTGTAGTAAAATTGTAGCTTCATAGCAAAAAAAGGAAATTGTTTTACATTTTATTACACACACACACATATATATATATATATATATATATATACATATATATATATATATATATATATATATATATATATATATATATATATATATATATATATATATATATATATATATATATATATATATATATATATATATATATATATATATATATATATATATATATATATATATATATATATATATAGTTCTTATTTAAATTTTTTTTAATTCTTTCTTTTTCTTTCCTTAACAATCCTCATTTTTCTCTTATTTGTTTTTACTTTCAAAATTATCTTTTATTATTATTATTCCCCGATGCCCCTCTTGTAAGAGGATTTTCGTGGTTTTTATGACAGGTTTTGGAAGAGGCCTCCGAACTCCTAGCCGCGTCACTGATAGCCACCACATGCACGGGAATCTTTTATTGTAATATGACTTGACTTGAGACTTGACATGACATGTCACGATATGACTTGAGACTTGACCTCAGTGACTTGAGACTTGATTTAAGACTTTCTCCAAAGCGACTTGAAAACATTTCTCATATATATATATATATATATATATATATATATATATATATATATATATATATATATATATATATATATATATATATATATATATATATATATATATATATATATATATATATATATATATATATATTTATATATAAGGTTTCTAGTTTGAATAAAAAGTTTTGATAAATATTAAAAGTATTTAGAAAAGAATTTTAGCTGATTAAAAGTGTAATTTCTGTATTTCTAGCTGATTAAAAGTGTAAAGGAAGAGGTGATATTGCTAAAAAACTATATAGCTTCGAATTTCATAGTTTGGATGAATATCCGTTAGCCCGAATAAGTGCTAACATAGAGGTCCTTAATTCTTTAGACTTCAGTGGACCGAAGCCTCCCAACTTAGTTCATTTGGTCACAGAAAATTCGTGGCTATTGTTCCTTATGAAAAGCCAAAGTAAAAGTGACTGTCAATGGATGAAAACCTATCCAGAATATTGGACTTGCAACCATTTCAACATAAAGTTTTAGGAGGCAGCTTTTAATCGTTCAGTTGTTAATGATTGCTCGGAAAGCACCGTTAAACTCATAAAAGACAAAATTGACATTTTCTGAAAAGACAGGGTTCACTTTCATTTTTGTATAATTACAAAAGGAAGTAAGGAGGAAAAACTAAGAAATCCAAGAAAAACAAAAAAAGCAATATAAAAGTACAACATAAAATAAAACATTTTTAAAAAATACAGTTATTAATTATTAGTTATATTTTTAGTTATTAATTATTAATTATTATTTAATTATGAAGTAATTTGTTAAACAAAATTGCTTGACGTTTTATGCAATACAATAAGATTTTTTTTTATTTCATTCAATTTAATAAAGTTTATGCAATATAATAATTTTTATAGACTTTTAATGCTATATATAGCTGTTTTATGCAATATAATTAGGTTTTTTTCCAAATGGCTTAACATATCCATAAAGATATTGCATTGCGTCAAAATCGGTAAAAATCTGCATAACTTAAGGTAAATTTACATATATTATTTCAATAAAATAAAATTACCATGTATTTTAATTTTTTTATTATAGCTTAGAAAAAACTCTAGGAAAAAAAAAAATAATTTTTTTGAGTTTTAGTACTTGCTGAAACGTGCGAAAAAAGTGCTTAAAAAAAGGTAAAAAAGCCTAAAATATGACTTTTGAGGCACTTGAGCAACCCCTAAAAGTAGTCAAATCCTAAAATAAAAAAAGTTCTACTAATAAAATATGGCTCGACGCAGCAGATAACACTCCATGGTACTTTAAATTTTTTCATGACCTCAAAATGAAGCAGTCTAATATATATATATATGTATATATATATATATATATATATATATAATATATATATATATATATATATATATATATATATATATATATATATATATATATATATATATATATATATATATATATATATATATATATATATATATATATGTATATATATATATATATATTTATATTTATATATATATATATTTATATATATATATATACATATATATATATATATATGTATATATATATACTACTATAGCATATTTATATGCGCAAGTGCTCACTTTTTTTGCTAGCTTAATTTAAGTGAGCATCGTGAAAAAACAATGAGGGAAAACAAAGATTAATAAATGAAAAGGTTGCTGACCCATACCAAACCCTCAGTCGATCTAGCAGCACTTCACTGCGAGTCAGGCTATTTGTCAGTCAATGTATGTACTGAAGCCGCCGCAGCAGGCTATTTCAGTATGAATTCATCACGCTCACCTAACTCAGCAGTATAAGATATAAATCCTTCTTGTTTCTTTTTTTTTGTCTGTTAAATTTTTTTAAAAAAATTTGAATAGATGAATATAAATCTATAAAATGTTCTGAATTTTTTTAAATTCAAATTATCTTTTGCGTATTTAAATATATATTATTAAGTTTATTGGATACGCATATGTACCGAATTGTAAGTTATTATTAAAAACTTTTTAAATTTTTTTATTTTTTATTATTTTCAAACTTTTTAGTTTTGTCAAACTTTTTAATTTGTTTTTTTAAACTTTTTTTAATTTATTTTTTTTATATATTATTGGATGTTGCAAAATTTTATTTTATTTTTTCTAATTTTTATGGAGGGGCTTGATGATAAGGCGTTTCGTCTTCTACTTGCCCTAGTCAGCTTGTAATTGTATAAACTTATTTGAATGTAAGGTTTGCATTGTAAAATGTGTCAAATGACGAAATTAATAAATTAAAAAAAAAGAAAAAGTAAGCTTTGGTTGTTTGAATATCCAATAAGATGTTAACCTGTTAGATGGAAGGAAGGAATTAAACAGCGTCTTTTTACATTAAATAAATGATTGATCTTAAAAAAGTTGTTTTCTTTTTGAAAAAGATGAAAAAACTAAAATTAGATATAGCACCTGCTTAAGAAGATAAAAACCATGGAGTAAAATGAGTTTGAATTGGAACTGATGAGAAGAAAAAAAAAGGAGAATTGCGAGAAACTGAACATAAGTTTGGTTCAGAGGAAAGTGATTAGGGACGTCTGGAAAACCAGGCAAAAAGTTTTCTATCTGAGTAAAAGATTGAGAAAGATAGAAGTTATTGGTTTTTAGTGCCAGCAGGGTCACTGGTGTTTGAGCTAAGCCATTCAATACAATAAGCATTAAAGTCAGCATTAACAGCAATATTGAGTGAGTGTTAAAAGAGAAAATGTTTAGTTTGATCAGAAATTAAAAATTAAAAAGTGCAATCTCAAGAAGAAGGAGAACATTAAAAAGCAAAGACAAAGAAGAATTTTATTGTTTTCCTTCTTCTGAAGATGCATTCTTTTAGATGTAATTTCTGATCAAGTGATTCTCACTCAAGACCATATCCTTTCTAATTATTTGTGAGTTTGACTATTTTATGGTTGTGGTTGCTGAAGTTAATACATGGACAGATATTAAGATAACTCATAGAACCAAGTTCTTCAAGGTAAGGATGTAGCTAGAAGTATTCTTCAAAGCAGAAAACTGATTAGTAATCACATTTAAAATCAACATGGCAGAATATCAGCAGATATTTTTATGATGATTTTTTGTTATCTACTTCTTTTTCATGCTAAAGAAGTAAATGCTATGTCAGCTAGTCAGAAAGTTAATATAAAGAAATATAGACATAAGAAAGAATACTATTTTTCTTTTTCTTCAAGAAGTGTCACGGGTTAGCTTGACACTGACTATTCACCAGTTAATTTAGTTCTTTAAATTAAAAAAAAAAATTAAGGATTTTTTTTGTGATCGTAAAAAATAACGTATTTACAAAACTGGGTTTAGTTGTTTTGTAATTGTTTAATATATTTAATAATAAAGTTTAGAAAGTTTAAAATTATATAAAGTTTAGCAAATCATATGAATATTGATAAAAAAAAAAACATGCAGGAACTTACAGGCGACGGAATACAAAAATGCTTAATACATAGTGAATTACGAGT